ATTGCTGTCAACAGTAAAATATAAAACCATGACTTTGCTTTACCGGAAGCTAGTGATCCAGTCTTGTTAAACTATCACTCTGCTCAAAAACACCATTTGCCGGTGTTTGTCACTGCTTCCCTCTTGCTAAACTTTATTTCACATATTTTTCTTTAATACAGTTCTTAGAGGCTTGAATATAATAAAATCCATTTGCAGAAGTGCTAAAGTGAGTTGACAGTTTCTTTTGTCTGCTGTGGGGCAGGACTTCTGCCTGCTGGCCCCTGGCCATGAGAAATGAAAACAACTGCCTGAAGAACATGGGCAGAGAGCAAGACCTGGAGGCTGAGCCCCATCAGTCACCATGGTACCAAGTTTGGACAGAAGATCCTTCTTCTGGTTGGAAACAACTCTTCTGTGTTTTGCAGTAGAGAGCGAAAGAAGTCAACAGCAGTTTATATTCCTCTGCCTTCTGTCATACGCAGTAATTGCTCTGCCGTTACTTACAGTGGTGGCTCATCACAGTGAGCAATGTTGCAGAGCCACAGTGTGATGGACATGGAGCTGATCTGCAATAATGTTATCAATATGGTGATGCAATGGCTTTAGGTGGTGACAGGTCCAGGGCAGGAAGTTATTGATTAAACTTCTGTTGGGGCTGGAGAGAGAATGAACAAAGAAGCAATGTAACAGCTCCCAGGTTGGAAATAAATGAGAAAAATCATCAGGTATAAGTATCTGTCCCCAAAGAAATTACAAGCATGTTTCATCAGGTTATGAACTGGCAAGTGAGAGACAACAGCAAGTTAAGCCCTACGAGAACAGGGGTGGAACAATGGAAGTGCACTTGACCAAGGCTGTCTAAAGAAGACAGGCATTAACAGAACAGGAGACAAAAGGGACTTCTCAGTGGCAGGAAATGTTATACCTTGCAAATGTTATTTACACTGGCTTTTTAATGTTTTCAAGTTATGTTCTTCTTCAAAACATTTAGTTTAGTTAGAGATGTTGTGCTTTAGGCAGGGCACTATACTGCTGATCCATTGTCACCTGGGAGGTTCCCGACTAGGGCTGCAGGTCAGGGAAGCACAGCCTCCTGCTCCATGTGTCTCTCACCCCAAAAGGTGGAGAAGACCTCCAGGAACCAAGGGGGAAGCTCAAGAAGCCATGAGAAGCACACCAGTCTCCAGTGAAAAGAGATTTGCATATGGTAGCTCACACAATTAGTGTTACCAGTATTAGTTTAACAACAGCAGGTAGGTGGACATTACTTGCTTTACTTCAGTTAGTCTCCAGATGCACATTGGTCTCAAGTCTTTTCCACGCAGGCAGGCTCCCATCTAGGAGGAACCTGGGAAGCTTCTCCCATGTCACTGTATAGGAAGACAAAATGTCTGTCATTATTAAGGTGTTAATTTGCTGCCCCCAGATTAGGAAAAAGGTACATTAGAAGAGCTTTATTCTTTCCTAAATTTCTGCTATCTACTTGTCTGTTCTGCTTGGAAATAATCCATGTCTTACGCTTAACCTGGGCTCACTACTCCTCTGTTCCAGTCCTGCTGTATCCTTCCCACCTTTCCTTCCAGGGCATCTCTTTCTTCCTTTTCCAGCTTGCCATTTTTCAGAAAGGGAGCCTGTCACAGGGCCATTTGAGCAGGAGTCTTTCTGCCTGTGTTGTCCTTTCAATAGTATTTGAACCTGTTTTCTACCATTTAACAACACGTAACTGAAGCTTAGATGTCCCAAAGGTAATGATTCTTTAGTATCTTTCATGAAAATAGTCAGCTGGGTAGAGGAAGATCTCTTCTGTGTCTTCCGCAGGGAAAAGAAGCAGACTTGTTGTTATTCATCAGAGAATCTACTAAAAAAAAAAAACAAACTACAAAACTGTTCTTGATAGTGCTGCTGCTCAGGGGACCACTTGTAAGCAGCTTCTTACAGGGTAATATTTCTTTTTAGTTGAATCTCATGTGCAAAAATTTACCAGATTGCTCTGAGTTTTCTGCTTCATTCTTTCTCCTCTCTTCACACAATATATTAAACTGTTATGATACTGCATGAACATTAACACCAAGGTGTTATCTATTGGGACATGTGTGCATTGCAGGTCTCGCTGGATCCGGCATCATAGACTGGGAAATGTGAAAGCAAGGCAGAGTGATGGTCTCAGTAGCTTAAAAGACCCTAATTCTCATAAAAGCTTGCTGTCTCCCACAGAAGTGTCCTGCAGCTCTCTATTTTTGCTCTTCACAGTTCAGCTGCCCAAAGCTCACTTCATATAAGATCAAATTCCTCCCAGGTATGGTGACACATGGTGATGGGGCAAATGCTCACTCAAAAGAAGCATGTTGTCATTTAGTTCAGGTAAAACAAAGGGATTTACCACTCTCTGCCAGGTAATTTTGGTAAGCAGATTGACTCCATGAAACCATAGTCCACTCTTTGTTCTCATCTGACACTAGTGCATTTGACATTGTTTTTTTTACCAAGAAAAAACATCCTGCAGTTCCTTGTTAGTTTCACAACAGTATGGTGAGTAAGTGGGCCACAGCGGGAGGTTTCTCTACTGAAAGTGTCAAAGTGTGGCCAGCAGATGTGCATACCATAGGGATGAATAAATGATTGGACAGATTGTCGTCTCAGTTGCTGATCCTCTGTGAATATGGTTATCCTTCATTAAATAGCCACATTGTTTTGATGAAAACTTCTACCTACTCACCTTACTTCTTCTTCCCACCCAAGCAGCATTAGACAATCAGCTGGTTGTTTAAAACAAAATAAAATAAATAAATAAAGCATCGTGTCTCTTCTAAAATTCTGTAAGGTGTCCTCAGATTTTCAGGAGAGATGACAGAACTGAAGTGCTTCATGACCTGGGAAAATACAAGACTGAAAATGGTATTTGGCAGAAGTCAGGCAGGGAAAGGACTGTAGTGTCACAGCACAAAGAGGGGCAGACCCTTGCTGGACACCCGCAGGCAGGTAGCTGGGAGAGAAAGAGTCTATGAGGTGTCTGTGGGGAAGGAGCTGGCTGGGCTGAGAAATGGAAGGGGAGAAGATAGAGTGGATAATTAGAAAGAAAAAGAAGAGAAAACGGATCCCTGTGAAGATTTAGATGGGTCAGATAAATAGTGAGATGTCAGGAACTGGATGAAGCATTTGAAATGGAGGCTTCATTAATATTTTGTCTGTCTTATCTCAGACTAATTTATTTTAGAGACATGGATCCTGCTGATGTATCGAGATGATTATCAGGATACCTTATTGGTTTTTTGAACCATTTCTTAAGCAGGAATTCTCAACCTTTCTTGAGGACCTCTTCTGGTTTCATACATTTCCCTATGTCTGAAGACATGAATCACAAAGTCACTATTATTTCTGTGCTGTCTATCAGGAAATTTCGAGATTATTTTCTCTTGCTTTCAGCAGCCATGGAAGCTATTGCTACCCAGTGGGGTCATGGTCCAATCACATGTTGTGCCAGCTGTCCCAAGAAAAAGCCTAGAAATTGTGGACAAGAGAGTTGGGAGTAACCAAGGGGCCAACATGCAGCTGCTGTCCAAACATGCTACTCCTGAGAAAATAATACAGAGCACAGAACTGATTAATTTGGTTGTTATTCTACTTGTTTTCATCTATAAGCTATTCACAAAAAATGTACAATTCGCTCAAAAACCAAAAAAGTGCCATTAAGTCCCACACAGCATAAAGATCAGGAGGTCCTTTCAGTTAGTGCAATGGCAACCTTCCCCTCCAACACAGCTGCCTGCAGGAGAGGGAGTCTCCAAGGGAAAGTATGCTGCTCTTGTTCTGACTTAATCCTCATTGCCAGCACTACAGAAAGCAAAGCTTTTCCAGCTGAGAGTAGGGTTTATGTGAGAAAGCTACAGGTACAAGCAAGACAACCAAGACCGATGTTTTATCTGGTAGGTATTTATTGATAGAAGTAAAATCTGTTGCTTAATTTCCTGCTGATAGTAATGCACTTGCTTGATCACCTGCTATCCTTGTTTGCGTCTGATTATAGTCAGAAGGTATCGGACTGCCTGAATGCACTGGCAAGGTACACCACATGTGAGCAAAGATGTCACTGTTTGACTACACTGGACAGCATGCTTAGCTGTGTAAGGAAAGACTGTAAGAGACTCCTTTTATTTAGGAACAGTCTTGGGAGATTGTCCAAAGGTATCTCCAGGGGGACTGCATGCAGAGTGTCTCCATTTCTGTGAACATACACTTTCCCCAATAGCAGCCTTTAAGAAAATTTTGCTGTGGTGAAAGGCCTCTATGTGCAATGGTGTGTAAGCAAACTGATCTTGGCACAAACATAAACGCATGTGACAAATGCAGCAGAGTTACCTGTGCTTACAAATGTAGCTCATGATGACAGTTATGACAATGTAAAATGGCGATTTTTCATGAAGCAGCTGTGTGTATGAGAAGCTGCAAGCATAGGAATTCTTCTCAAGACTTTGAGATGACTTTACTATTAATGCATATTGCTTTGACCTTTCAGAGCTTCAGGTTGAACAAGAGGCTCAATGTTGTGCCCACTGTTTGCTCAGCCAAATAAGGTACAGTAGGAGGAAGTTAATATATTAGAAAAGAAGAATCACACACCTTACTTTCTAAAGCTTTTTCTTTTTTTTTTTTTCAATCTAAATCTAATCAGTGCATGCATGTTTGCGTGGCTTTAAGTAAAATTTGTTTACAATGTTAGACACTGTAATCCATCACTATAAATGCTACTTTGGCAATTGCACTTCAGGAACATTTTTTAATTCTGTTGGAAACATGAAGTAAATTTGACAGTGCTACACCAGGGGCCTAAGCAAGAGCCCTGTCATGAGTGGTATCAGCAAGTCCAGCTCTGCCTAACGAAGAGCCTTGGGCCTTGATTCAGAGCCAACCAGAGCTGACGCACACAGTCTCGTCAGCTGTGGTGGACTTCACAACAGAGCTTGCATTTGGTAGAGCAAAGTTTGAAGTATGTCCTGCCCAAGAGTTGACATATTTAGACATACCCCATGGCAATAAGCAAAATGAACCGTAACATATCTTATTTGCTCTGTACATCACAGGGCCTTATGCCGACAAGGGTGACAGTCTGCCCCTGGCATCTGAGCTGCCCGGCCTCCCACTCAGTCATGGTCTGACGGGCAGCAGAGCCACTCACTTCAGCACAGATCTGGATGCCGCCCTCCTTGCCCAGCCTGTCTTCATCACAGACGCAGTTGTTGGATAGCACTAAACAAAAGCACAGAGGAAAAACAAGTCAGGATGGCATCTGGACTCAATGAAACCCAGAATGAAATGTTTTCAGCAAAACCATAGGATTGACAGGAATTTTCAGGAGGGTGCTCAGTACAAGAAAGACATGAATCTGCTGGAGCAAGTTGCCCAGAGAGGTGGTAGGTGCCCCATCCCTGGAAACATTCAAGATCAGGTTGGACGGGGCTTTGAGCGACCTGATCTAGTTGAAGGTGGCCCTGCTGATTGCAGGGGGGTTGGACTATATGACCTTTAAAGCTCTGTGATTCTTTGCCTAACCAGAAGTAACATTATCTGATATTCAGGTCCCATCTGTGATTTATTTTTCATGACTGTGTCTCTGTTTTGGTGTTGTATGTCTATTTCTTTTTGCCTGTGTTTGTCTCTGCTGAAGCTACAGCCAGTTTTGATTATCTTTTTTTTGTTATTATTTTTGCCTGTTCAACCCTGTTATACAAAACAGATGAACTCCTATCAAGTAATCTTTTTATTTTCAAAATATGACAATAACTGTGCCTCTATCGGTCACACTTCTAAAAACCTAATTTACTTCTTTATCTTACCATTTCTGGCAACCCTCCATTAAATCCAATGTAGTGTAGGACATTCAGGAGAATTTGACCAGGGAATCTGAAAACTTCCACTGCAGACAGATTGCAAAAGACTGGGACTATTTCCTCTGGGGGAAGACACATTCACCTTTGATCATAACATGAGGAATGGGGGATAGGCAGTGAAGTACAAACAAAAGTGACTGGCTTTCCCAAATGGTATAGAATAAGACGCTCAATTCCTTTTCAAAAGATAGTGCTGGGGAGACTGCTTGGCAAATTTCAGGAAAGGATTAGCTATTCCTGCGGACAGTAAGGACTACCACAGTTACTGTTTTAAGGAATTTAAAACAGGTGGATGCAGTGAAAAAAAGAGTAGGGCAAGGGTGTCACCCAAAAATTCCAGAGGATCAACAGGATTAACTACTTAACAGAGACTAGGAACAAGTTTTTCCTGTAGATAGTGAATTTTGTTACAATATTCTACAGGGTTTTGTTTTCCATGGTTGGAGCTTCCTTCCATGTTTGGACACCAAACACTGGGCTTATGGTTTAAACCAGCTTAGCAGTGCTTGGTGACTCTGGAACAGACTGGAGACACCATACCAGAACAGACTTACAGCTAATGTGTTGCAGGGAATAAAGATTTCATTTTGGTCATATAAACACTTTTGCTTAGATTGTGAAGAATCTCTTACCATCACATTTTTCCCATGAACGGCATGATCCACATGATATTGCAGCTGCCTGAGGTACATGGCAGTTTTCTGCATTAGTAAGAGAATATTTTCTGCCCATGCACTCCAAGGCATGCATCTTGCAAACAGTTAAAGGTGTGTTTCTCTTGGTTCTTTGATCTGTAGCACAGATGTCCAGGGAAGGACTGAAAACAAATGCAGGAATGGCAATATTTAAATCTGCTTTATCTTAGTACCTTTTAAAAAGAGCTGAGGGAATGGAACACATTCAGGGTCCAGTTCCATTTTCTGTGTTCATTGAGATACATCCTAAGTGTGCAGTAAGGGAACTTGAGACATAGACATGTGAATAATTCAGACTCTTTCCTTTTCCGCAGGATGATGCACCTCAGTAGAGCCATGACATGTGCCCTCTGAATGTCAGCGATATTACTGGGTATTTGCCATTGACTTCAGTAGCAGTGAGAGTGAGACTTTCACATCTCAGGTAGTCTGTAATATGTTACACATGCATGCACCTAAGAACCTACACCGAAAACATTTCATATTGTTCTGGTTTGTGTGGTGGATTTGTTTGGTAGCAGGGGAGGGGCTACAGTGATGGCTCCTGTAAGTAACCGCTAAAGGTTCCCCTGGCTCCAAGGTGCTGGTAGCTGGGGGGGTGGAAGGTGCCACTGACCTAGCCCCTGTGAGAAGCTGATGGAAGTTTCCCCATCTCCGAGCCAGACCCACCCCTGGCCAGGGCTGAGCCAGTCAGTGCCTCTGCGAATCATGTATTTAAGAGGGGGCAGAGGGCAGGGAGGGCTTGGCGTGGCCCCTGGGCAGGGCCCGGCCTGGCCAGACCTGCTGCCCAGCTGCCTGCCTGGTTTATTCAGTAACCTGACCTGCCGAAGCCCAAGCCTGCGCCATGGCTTGCCCGAGAGCCAGGAGTTTCTCAGGAGCCAGTGAAAGAACCTGCAGTGGTGAGAGGAGTGGGCTAGGAGAGAGGCAACTACACAGACACGAAGCTCAGTGAGGAGAAAGGAGAAGAAGGACGTGCCCCGAAACAGAGATCCCCTTCAGCGTAGTGAAGAATCATGGCAACACATGTCATCTCTCGTGCAGCCCATGGAGAGCAGAGCTCACCCGCAGCTCATGGAGATGTAGCCATGGAGGACTCCACATTGGAAGATGTAGCCATGGCCAAAGGAGGCCACAAATTTTGTTGAAGAGACCCATGCTGTAGCCAAGCAGCTGTCGACCCAGACTGTGACCCTGTATGGGAAGGACTCACATCGGAGCAGCTTGAGAAGGAATCTCCTGTGAGAGGAACCCCACACTGGAGCAGGGAAAGTCTGTGAGGAGCCCTCCCCTGAGGGGGAAGGAGCAGCAGAGACAACATGGACTGACTGCAACCCCCATTCCCTGCCCTCTGCGCCACCGGGGCGGGGAGAGTGTACAGAAACCAGGAACAAAGCCTTTGGGCCTGGGAAGAAGGGAGGGGTGGGAGAGAAGTGATTTTCCAAGATGTAGTTCTTTTTCTCATTATCTTGCTTTGTTTCTGATTGTAAATAGTTAACAAATTAAATTGGGTTTTTTGTGTTTTCCCAGGCTGTATCGGTTTCTTGCTGGTGACCATAAGTGGTAATGAACCCTCCCAGTCCTCACCTCAGTCCATGAGGTTTTTAACAAGAGGCTGTGTGGTGGCTTTTAAAACCACAACACATATGCATATATATTAAAATATTTAATAAGTATTTCTTTAACTACAAGAGATGAGAATATACTTAAAGACATTTTCTCTGCTGTCCTTAAAAGCCTCAGCTTTTACCCAATAAAATGTTATGATCTGACATCAGAGACTAAAAGTATTTCTGGAAATTCACATACATCTCCACAGAAATTTTATTAAAAACCTGCTCTATTTATCCAGGGAATTTGCTTGTTTATTTCTTGAAATTCAGGTGGTTCTAACACCCACAAAAATTAGCATGTGAAAGTGGTAATAACAATTCTTGCACAACCTTAAACAGGGTTGGCTTTGGGGACAATGCAGGAAGTTGTTATCATCTGTGTTTCATGCTCTTTCAAGAAAAAAGTGCTTCCATTATTCCTGAAATTCAATCTCAAACCCCAACTTCTTCACCTTTTCTCAATGCAGTCAGCGACATCTGTGTGGAGTGGAAAAAAAAAGTGCCTCTTGAGAGCAGGGCATGCTGTGACAGATGCACTCCACCCTCGCCCTTTACCAAACTGGCAGCAGTTTTGTACAGGCTCCAAAGCAGATAAGGGCCTGACTCACAGCTGGGCCAAGAACTCCTCCAGGAAATGCACACAGAGCAGAGCCACACAGTGAACACCAACCAGTTGTGGGTATGAGGAGCCTCGTGCATTCATCCCTCATGGGATGCAATTTGACTACAAGCCAACCACTTTAGCCCATAAATATGACAGCCTTATTGACACTTCTTTGAGCTCTCCCCGCTATGCAGTGTGGCTGCATGGCAGTGATGTCCCTTTGAGCTGTGAGGCATCTTAAGGGTAGTCCTCAAGCAATTACATCGTTCACCAGCAACAGACGACTGGATGAGCCCAATTTGAATTCTCCCTGCATGGCAACTGGATTGAATGCCAGGCAACTCTCCCCTTCAGTAGGGATGCCTCTCAATGTTAAGCAATATTAGTTGCCTAGCTTAAATAAGTAAGTTTCAATAGAATAAATCACTTAGAGTCATAATATTGTGTGATTTAGCACACTGTTTGCTTAGCTTTTCTTATTTAGCATCAGTAGCTAGATTTGCTGAAGCCTTAGGCTGCAAGCTGTAAATTTCCACTTACATATGCTTTTCCTGTTAGTAGCTGGTACAGTGTGCTGTGGTTTGGATTTTCAGTGTGAGAATAATGTGGATAACACACTGATGTCGTAGTTATGGCTAGGCAGCGCTTTATGGCTAGGCAGTGTTTAAGACTGGGACTTTTCAGTTTCTCATGCTCTGCCAGAAACACACAGACTAGAAGATACAGAGTCTTCAAGACTACAACTGTAGGGGCATTCTATGCTGACATAGAGTTTTAACTATGATATTAATTATAGACTTTATAATTGTAAGATTAATAGAGAATCCTAAACGTAACTAGGCAGCACAGCTGCGTGGCGATGATCTCCCCTTGAGCTGGGATGCCTCTCAGGGGTGCTCCTCAAAGCACTGAGACCTTTTACCAATGACAGATCACTGGACAAGCCCAATTTGAATTTTTCCTGGATGGCAACTGGACTGCATGCCAGGCAACTCCCCCCTTTAGCAGGGACACTTCTCAATATTAAGAGTTCCTAATCTTTTAGCTTAAATAAATTTGAAATAGAGTAAATCACTTAAAGTTATAGTGTTGTGTGATTTGGTATGCTGTTTGCTTAGCTTGACTTACCTAGCATCAGTAGCTACATTTGCTGAAGCCTTAGGTCACATGATGTAAATTTTCCCTTAGATTTACTGAACGTGCACCTACTTAGTCAAAACAGGGCCTCCAGAGCCAGTGTAAATCAGAAGATATGGAGGCTTCAAGGCTAAAGCCATCAACAGCAGCTGCAATTAGAGATGATGACAACCTGTCTGAAGACAGTGAAGGAATCCAATGAGGAACAAGAAGACCCCAGGCCCAAATATTTCTATTGGACTGAACCATCATGAGGGTGAATATTCTGTAAGGGTATAATTACCCAAGGATTTCTTTGTTTGTGGTCCCTCTCCAGAGGTACCCAGCTCAAGCTGACCCTGCAGCTGTATGACACTATTAAATTATTTATTTTTATAAAATCTGGTGCCTAAGAGTCTGCTTCAGGAAACTGAAGATTTGAACTTTGGAGCAAACTAACATCGGATGCCCGAATGGAAACTTTGAACTTCGGAGCAAACTATACCAGATGCCCAGATGGAAAATAAGTGAATTGTGAAAAAGCATGATGAAACTTTGAAATTTGAGCTAAGTTATATAGAGAATCAGGTGTGCACGTATATACTAGCCATACATATATATAATCCCTTGGACATAAACCGTTGACCAAGTCTGGGACTAGGAGTGGATCCAGCTGCACCTAGAATCCTCTCTGAGGAGTTTAGAAAGGAAGGGGGTCCACTCTGAGCCTCGTGACTCAACATGAGGCTCTCCCTTACCTTTTTGCATCTACAGTCCCTGTATAAATAATTCCAAATGATTCTAACCCAAGTTTCCCTCTGTATATTTCCTCCATATAGTAAATGATAGAGTGAACCTTGCCATAAACCTCTGTTAAGTCGTGCTTTTATGTAAACACTCAGCCACGACACATGCCTGTGCTCTCCTGGCTGTGCTTTACAGCCACTGGTCAGGTGCTGGACAGGGTACAAGAGAGCAGAGATGTGCTCCAAGGGAATAATGAGCTTTGAAAAATGGCCCCAAAGGCTTATTTTCAGCACAGGTCCTCCTTTTGAGCTCACAAATGCTCCCACTGAAACTTTTAGTGTCTAATGGATCGGTTTTGAGGGTTAACCTCAGGTAAACAGGTGTTTGCTGGGAGGAGAGGCCAACAAGGAACAGGCAAATGGCCCTAATGAGCTTCAACCAGGCTGCCTGAAAGGCAGCGTAACAGTCCCTGTGAAAGTGGCTTGTCAGAGTAGGGAAGAGGAATTTGGAAGAGGGAAAGTCTAGTACGAAAGTCCTGACTCAAACCTTGCTCACTTGCTGGCCAAGTGTTAAGGCAATTTTTCTTTTTTTTTTTTTTTTTTTTTCCTTGGAAGTAGGAAGTGTTTTTTGGTAGATCTATAAATAAGGCACTGAGGAAAAGTGCCTGCTCCAAGCTTTGGGAATCATTCTTTGAGAGATTATTTTGAAGCATCTTCAAAGAACTGGCTTTACAGAAAGTTTAAACTACCTGTAACATAGTGCACCTTTAAGATACCTAAAATTTGGCACAGAGTTCATCAGCTGACCTTGAAAATTTTGCTGCAACTACCTGCAACAAAATATGTCTTCAGAGATTATTAACTGAATTATATCTCCTACTTAAGTTAGCATCCTCAACTGCAATGGGTCCCTTAACCGCTGTCCTTTGTCAAAATACGAGCCACTAAATCTAATGTTTGTTGCCTGAATTTTCCTTTATGCTCTGTTGTTAACATAAAGAATTAGGTTAATCCTCTTATTCTGAGGCACAAGAAGAGGATAGCCCAGTGGATGCGTAGCACCAAGCATCTGATAGAGGAAGCCCATGCATTTGTCAGGTTTATATTGTTTGCTTGTCTGGCTGCAGAATCCATGAGCTAGTGGTGCACTGATTTATAATGTGAAAGTTAACTTTACAGATGGAACTATAAGAAAAGTATTTCAGTCACAACAACCCCCTGCAACGCTACAGGTTCTGGGGAGAGTGGCTGGAAAGCTGCCCAGCAGAGAGGGACCTGGGGGTGCTGGTCGACAGCCAGCTGAAGTGTGCCCAGGTGGCCAAGAAGGCCAACAGCTTCCTGGCCTGCATTAGCAATAGTGTGGCCAGCAGGACTAGGGAAGTGATTGTGCCCCTGTACTCAGCACTGGTGAAGCCGCACCTTGAATACTGTGCTCACTTTTGGGCCCCTCACCACAAGAAGGACATTGAGGTGCTGGAGCAGGTCCAGAGAAGGGCAGCGGAACTGGTGAAGGGTCTGGAGCACAGGTCTTATGAGAAGTGGCTGAGGGAGCTGGGGTTGTTTAGTCTAGAGAAGAGGAGGCTGAGAGGAGACCTTATCACTCTCTACAACTACCTGAAAGGAGGGTGTAGTGAGGTGGGTGCTGGCCTCTTCTCTAAAGCAACAAGTGATAGGACAAGAAGAAATGGCCTCAAGTTGCACCAGGGGAGGTTTAGGTTGGATATTAGAAATAATTTCTTGACTGAAAGAGTCATCAAGCATTGGAACAGGCTGCCCAGGGAAGTGGTGAAGTCACCATGCCTGGAGGTGTTCAAGAAACATGTAGATGTGGTACTTAGGGACATGGTTTAGTGAGTTAGGTGGTGTTGGTTGACGGTTGGACTTGATGATCCTTGAGGTCTTTTCCAACCTTAATGATTTTATGATTCTATCATTCTAAAAACTTCATCTTTAAATATCATCTTAAATTTAGAAGAATAAAGTGTGATTCAGGGAAAGCATCTAATCTGTAATTAAGTTGTTTATTATGTTTAAAATTGTTCAGAGGCCTTCTTTATTTGCCTGAGTGATAAATCTCAGTATCTAAGTCTTAAGGTCAAAAACTTGCATACAAAGCAGCTCAGATTAAGGCCAGATACAAATGCACCAACCCGTCTGCTTTGCACCACTTTAGCAACACCCAAAAGAGTGGAGGGAGGCTTATTTAACTGGATAGCTGCCAAAGGTGGAACCCAGGGAGTCCATGGTCCATGTTGCCAATCTCTAGCTACAGCATAATCCCTCAAGCTGTCTTGAGAGTGCTTCACATATTTGCTATGGCTGGTTCAGCTAGGGGAAAGCCAGTGAAAATCAACATGTTCAGATGGATAAGAAAAAGGATGGAGAACCTGTACTCAATAATTTGCGCTCATTGCTGAGAAAGTCTATTACAGAGCTGGGAGCATCAGAGCAGTGCAATAAAAATTATTAGAGGCAAGGAAGAATCCTTGTGTAAAGTGAATGTGAGATATTCAATACCTTCTGCATGAAAAAGAAGGATTGGGTAAGAACAAGCTTTTACTAAAGCAGATATTGTGAGAAATGAAAAAGCAGATTTAAGTCAGCAAATACCTTCTCTCCCTTTCACCTACAATGAGAGGCAGGCAACTTTCAGTGGCACTAAAAAGTGAAAAATTCATCATGCTGGAAATTGTTTTAACTTCTTAAAAGTATATTCAAGACCATAAGTTTTAGTATAACACAGGCCAAGAACTCTTAGAACAGACATAGATGCTATGCATACAAACATGGGGAAAAAAAGAGGGGATAGTATTTAAAAATTATCAAATCTGATGTTTTACTGTAGGGATAGTCTTTAGCTACTGGAGGCTGGGGTTTCATCTGTATTAATGCACTAAATGTGCTCTGACCTCTTCTGTACACCAGGGCCAATTCATACAGCATAGCTGATGTCCATACTGTTAAACTTTCTTTGCCCCCAAAAGATTGGGACTGCATCAGACCAGAATGGTCCCTGACCCTAGTAACTTCTTCTCTGTGCCTGGGAATTACCCAGGAGTTGGCCTTTGCCAAAGCTCTACCAGGAGCTGCTTTATCAATTTAGCAGACCTGGTGCCCAGGATCGTTCCCTGGCTCTTAACTGACAAGGATAGATGTAGCCCACAGCACCACATCATGAGAGACAAATTACCCCTCACCAGCTTGTTGGGGGGGGTTCTTCTGCGGTCCCTGGAACTCTTGGTTGCTAGTGTCTTGGAAACTGAAAGGATTTAGGATGGGTCTGAAATGACGGTGTTCCTGAATTCCCACGTGAACTGTTGTTCCCGGCTCTCTTTCGAGCAGAGCCTACTGCTGAAAGTCACTGCCAAAGCAAGCCAAGTTCCTTCTGATCTCTGAGGAGGGACCAAGGTCTGTTTACATGCCTTACTCCTACAGCCTTTACAGGCTGGCAGATTAATCTGCTTTGACAGCTAATGATTTATCCTTCTATTATTAGATGTGTTATTCCAGAATAGAGTGAAGAGATGGCATCAGGTAACAGAAATTATTGTTATCTATCTTCCTTCCATTTTGAACATAATTTTTAAAAATAGAACCAAGCAAGTAGTAGATTAATTACAACTGGAGCCTGAATGCATAACTGATTGTAATTCATTTAATTCCCAAGGTTATTGTGACTCTGCACAAGGAGTTCCCTAGCATTGTGGACTCCTCTTGTCTTCTGTGTTACTAACCCAAATACACCCATGAACCAGAGGAGGGGTTGTTGCCTCTCTTTAATGAGTATTGAGAAAAAAATAGTAGGACCAGATTATTTAAAATATGTAGGTGTTTAAGGATAGGAATAGAGTTTCAGCAGTTGTTACAAACCTGGCACTTCACATGCAAGACAATGGCCTCATATCCTAGGGAACTGCCCAGTGGGTCTACAAAACCTGACCTAAGCTCACCCATTTTAATTTTGAGATGTTCAAAGTGTGCTAATTTTGGCTTAGAGTCAGAGTCACTGTGCAAGCACTTTTGAGCTATGTGGCTGATAGAAAGTACACTTAGTCCAATGAGAAGTTCTGCTACCTTGAAATAACTTGAGACAACTTAAAAATTTCTTCTACCTGCTAGATGAGGAAGAGGCAAATCTGTTCTGTCATCCTAGAATTTACAAGCAGCTCAGCTCCTGCTGTGACATAAACCGGCCAGATTTCACATCCAGACATCATACCCACTGTGATGACTTTTCAGGAGACATCATCTTGTCTATGAAAACCCAGCCCAGATGTTGGAGTGCTAGGCTCTTTGGCACATCTGGCCATCAGTGCCAGGTGGTCTCAGGTGTCTTCTTGTTACTAATCTGTTTTGGTTCTGTTACTTCTATGTTTAGCAAAGGACTGACAAAGTAACTCATTTCCTTACCTTTCTCCTGCATTGCTTAATGCCATATACAGGCTTAGATCAAACAGGAGATAAAATCTGGTCTGCAAGTTATGAGGTCAGGAAAGGTGACGTGACTGGTCTGTGCAAACTGCTGTGTAAATGGGAGATTAGATTGTTGTGTGTTTCATAACTCTCCAGTCTCTCAGCAGGGAAAAGAAATCTGCTTTATTTCAGTAGCTTACTGCTTTGATGGTTTATGTCCCAAGGGCCTCTGTTCTAACTTTTCCTGAGTCTTCTAAATCTTCAAAATACCACTTTATCTTTTTCCATCTATTTCACAGATCAAGTGGAGCTGAAATTATCCCTTCACCTTCTGTCATCCAGCCAAATTCCATTACTGCTAAAACCCACTGACAGCTCTGACAAGGCAGGTAAGTGTTGAACAGGACATTGATTGAGCTGTAAAGCAAACAAAGTACAATGCCTCCTTCTCATATGAGTAAAGCTCTCTCGTCTGTCATGGACTGAAGACTTAAGAAATTTAATGGGTCTTGAATAAAGTAGGAAAGTCATTGCCAAATTCAGCATGAACTTACCCACACTCATAGGGCATTTTGCACACACACTGCGACTGATGCACTTTCTCCCATGGCTGACATTTAGGCTCTGTCACTTCTGGTTTCACACTGGGCACTGAACAGAAGAACACAGACAGTGCTATTAGGGGTCAGAAAAACAAGGGCTGTTAAAGGTCTGCTCTGAAATTATCCTATCAGTTGAGCTTAAAAGGCACTGAATTATACAATCATGACACCAAGTTACATCCTGCATGTTCAGTAAGAGTATCTACTGCATGGAAAGAATCAACACTATTAAAAAGATATGATACACTTTGCAAAGTTACTGTTCAGTAATTTATCCATGGGTCATGACTCAGATGGAAAGAGGCAGGTTCAAGCTTAAACATACATCTCATTTCTGCAGCAGCTGTTTGTTTCTGCTAAACTTCACAGTGCTGAATCACAGCTGGCAATAGCATTATAGAATCATAGAATCATAGAATGGTTTGGTTTGGAATGAACCTGCAAGATCATGTAGTTCCGACCCTCCTGCCATGGGCAGGGACACCTCCCACTAGACCAGGTTGCTCAAAGCCTCATCCAGCCTGGCCTTGAACACCTCCAGGGATGGGGCATCCACAGCTTCCCCGGGCAACCTGTTCCAGTGTCTCACCACCCTCACAGTATAAAATTTCTTCACAATATCTAATATCTTCTAATTAGCTTTCAGAGTTACAAGCTTCATTATTGTCACTAGAAAAGCTAAGGCTCCGAAGTCCTACGCAGAAATGTGAGCCTGAATATCTTTATGCACTGACGGTAATGAAAACTACAAGTTCCACCCTTAGTCGTCAATCTGCACTAACTTTAAAAATAAAAGTGATAGTGATCCTTGGGGAATTTGCATGATTGCACATGTACTGATCTTTGAATGCTGAGATGTATTCTAGGCTTAACAATGAAACAGGCCTTTGCTAAACATTCCTCTGGAGATCTTTGTAACAAGTGATAGCAAGACATTGCTAAATCTGTACAGACACACTTTCTGAGACAGCTTTATCCTGATTTGTGTTTTAATTAGGTGTCTGTAGTTTGCTAATTTAGCATGAAAATTTAATACCCCTGAGCATTGTTGCCTTGAAAAAAAAATATATATCCTTTATGGACTAAGACTTGCCGAGCAAAGACAGAAATAGCAGGGGAAAAAATAGACAGGCAGAAATTGACAGAGGAAAAAAAGAGTTGCAGTGCATTGCAATACAGACAGTGGGCATAACCATGTCTTCCTGCAGGGGGAAAATTTCCACCAAAAATCACTGCACCGTCTCCTTCCCTGGGGCTGTTAGTTGTATAGTTGACTGTTACCAACACTATTGCTGACTGAATACTCTCATCTAAGCATATATGTGCCATTGTTTCTGTGTATACATATCTTCTTAATTTTTACCCTTCTTATATCATATTCCTTTTTTTTTTAACTGTTCCACTTGTTATCATAATCTAATTGTTGTCCCTTTTTTGTTTTTTTTTAACTTCAGCGATAATGTCATTCTCCCATACAGCCAGACACAAGGTTTCTCTAAAGATGGAAGCATTTGAAATTGGTTCTAGTTACTACTGGAATGTGAATATATGAAGTAACAAAAAACGATTAAATTTGATTAAGACTAAGCCTAAGCAGTAATTGGCAAATGTAATTTTGCACCAGTGCTTTAGCACTTTAGCAGCAGTGAGCCATTTATTTACAGCTATGTTATTCTTTCCGAAATCCCTATGCTTCGTGTGCACGTGGATATGACACAGTGGCAGATGAGTTACACTGGGAATCTCACTGGACCATTGCCTTTTGAGGTCTAAGCCCCACTGTCACCTGCCTCTTTCCTCAGGTCAGGCAGCCTCAGGCAGCACTTGGCTGATAAGGAGAGGACAGACATGAAAAGCAGGACACACGCCTAGTCTTCTACAGCTGTGGCTGTTGTCCCCAAGCAAAGGTCTCTCCAGGGATATAAGGATATCTGGGACCTCAGCTGAGGATGTGACTGGCCTGAAGCAGCAAGCTGCTTGGATGCCTCTATGTCACTGACTGGCATTGTAGGAGTACACAAGAGACAGCCTTGTCTGCCTTCTACAGCTGGAAAAGATGACTTAGACAGCGCTGCTGTATGCTATAGCCCATTTCCCTTTCTCCCTGTGCCTGCCAGTATCAACCCAGAGTTTAAACAGCCATTATCATTATCTTGAAGCAACATTTCCTTTCATTCCAGATCCTGATGATTTACCGCATATCAGCTGTGTGACTGTCAGATGAGAAAAAGGAGTCATCCAGCCCCATTCCTTCTCTGCCATGAGAAGCTGTGGTGCACTGAACAGCTTCCAGACAGAAAAGCCATATCTTTAAGGTGCAGCTCACGCAGTGGTGTTGTTACACAACCTGGGTGGAAAGTGGAGTATACTTGGGTGGCAGAACAAGCAGAATACCTCCCAGGCAATCTCTTAAAATATTGTTAGTGACAATACCTGATAGCAATAGGTGAGTGGGAAGCAAAAATCCATGAGGAAACTTCAGTAGAAATGTCTTAAGGCATCTTGTTTGAACAGCCCACAGAAAACACACACTCGCGTTTCCTGTGTTTCCTGCTGGTGATACAAGTGTCATTCCTCTACCACTATATCAGCTATAGCTCTGTCTGTACCCTATCTACATCAGCCACAGTTTGTCCAGGAAAAAAACTCCTGCACTGCATTTGAAGGACCACAATGGCTTACCTGCTCTCTTGCACTGGATAGCCTTCATGTCAGGAGACCACTTGAGGCTGGGCTCACACAAAATGGAGCGTGCCCCTTCTAAGTGCATGCTGTGTGGACATGACAGAGTTATTCTCTCACCAATCTCATACACAGGTTTCCATGGCTCTGCTTGCAAACTCCCCTCCAAGACAGGCAGGAGACAAGCGGTTTCTAAGGATTGAAGCAATTGAGATAGTCACAGCGAATCCGTGGATTGTAGAAAGCAGTCACCTGCTTTATCTTCTCTTAAATTCCTTAACAAACTGAATGTTAAGATTAGCTGATTATCCCGTAGAAACACACCAATCATGTTAGCACAGAATATTAACTTATCACACCAGCCAGACACGTGCAATAAGAAGGACAGAGTGACACCACCTTCTCCTCCTGCCTGCAGGCCCAGCCCTAGCTTGAGAAGGGCTTCTATGATCTTAGGACCAATGCTTTTGTTGAGGGTTCACACTAACCAGAATAGTTACTGACTGGGTTAGAGGCAAAGAGTGAAGTGGGGAGATCATCTAAGATGTAAAACGATCCTTGGATTTGTGTTCTTATGACAAGGTGGTCATTTGAGAACTTTGTGGTTGCCCAGTGCTGTCCACTGGACCTTTTCCTCGGTTTGCTTTAGACATAGACTCATCCCCATGGTTTTTGGATATAGTCACAGGACTGAATTAAGGAACATAGTTTGTTTCCACAGGAAGTAATTCCTGGACTGGAATTTAGTCTCGCTTGTTTCTAGCCTTTCTTAAAACCAGACTTTATGGGCAGGTTTCTGTTTCAGGATTACAATGTCTGTACTGAAACTAAAAGTCAATTTAGACCTGATTATGTCTAGGGAATTGGGAAATGCAGGTGTATATTTTTCCCCTATTGCTGCTGGAAAGCAGACGTTCAGAGATGGTTCACTGGAATTCAGTAATGGAGTTGTATTTCAAAACAAGAATCAGTGAGATGTACCTTGGCAATATCTGTCTCCAGTTTGCCACTGTAAATTACTGCCACACTTAGCAACAGGATCACCAACAAGAGAATATCCATGTCTGCAAACATAAACAATACTTTTCCCAACAGGGTATGAGTTTTCAGCATTCTGAAAGAAAAGAAACAGGTGAAATTTTGGACATACAATCTAAAAACGAGCAGTAGTGTTGAACTACCTTTAATTCTGCAATGCAGTAGCTGAGGACAGTGAGAAGTATCAATGTCACTGATGAAAGTGTCTGGGATACTGGGGGAAATTCTGGTTATCAATAGTCAGTAAGTGTGATCAAAATGGAGATGCTGCAATAAGATGGTAGAATACAGAATATTTGGTCTGTGTTAACTTAGCAAAAGGAGGATTAGAGCTGAAGGTGTCCTCTGACAGGAGTCTGGCAGTGGTACATCCGTGATGGAAGAGCACTATCGTGCCAGTGTATAAACTGACTTCAAATATGGCTGTTATCAAGCATTAGAGGGGGAACACAAGCCCTCAAACAGCCGTCCAGGAGAGTATATGGCTTTGCTAATTCTTAGGATAGCATGTTATCAGCTTGCTAAAGTTCCATGTGATATGGTCACCCAGAAGAGCTAGAGTTGAAGACAGAGGTCTTTTCTCATTTTATATCCCACTCTCTTCTAAGGAGAGATTTTTTTAAGAATTGAGACTACTCTGCAAATTGCAGGAGTTTACCTTTAGTTTGTGAACTGGAAATATCAATATAGGAGGCAATGATTGATTACAAAAGAAAAATTCCTGGCAAGAGAAGGAGCACAAAATTTTGGATCTTGCCTCAGGTTGCAGCTGTGCAGACAACTACTGGATTTTGAACTAATTCTTTTATCTATTTATGGAGCAAAAAGACTCTAGACAGCCTCGCAATATGGAGAAGGCATAATCCATTCATCCAAGGAAGGAATTTAGTCTGCTTTGTTAAATAGGCCCAAGTTACAGTCAGACAAATACCTTGCCACATCATAGTTTCACCAGGGAACAAGAAATTGCAGTGGTGAGTTACAGGGTGTAGACTGAAGATTCCTAAAATTTGTTTATAATTTCGCTATAGATTTGCTGGATGACATTGGACACTTAACTTTCTGTGCTGTTTTTTCTCTAGTTTCCTGTGCTCTAATATTTAATTCATGTAGTACAGAAAATTTTTAATACGCTTATAGGGTAAAGGGCAAGTAGATTACTTTTCTCTGTAGGTACCATGGTCCACAAAAGCAAAGATTTTGTTCTGGGTTTTGGGGGTAGGGCTTTTTGGGTTTTCTTTTATTTTTAGTAAGAAATATTGGCTAATGTAATGTAAAGTTCAGCCAGGGAGAAATGTTGAGAGAGCTGCTATCAGTAGCTCTGATATTAAGCTTACCAAGATAAATATAACTTTGCAAGTGAATATCTATATTAACTATAGTAGAGACACTTCAGGTAAGCATAGGACAGACAATAGAGTAATAGAAATAACTTACTTGAACAAATCCATTTTTCAAGAGAGGAGGAAATGAACAGAATTCTGTAGGAGTTATGGATAAATCAAAACAGTGCGGTTCAATCAAGCTACGAAGCAAACAAAAGTACAACTTAGTTTGAATTTAGTCTTCCTTCCTTTCAAAATTCTACACTTCTTAGTGAAGCCCATTTTCAATACTAGTATGTGTCCCATTTGCATCACAACTATATTTAAATCAGGCACTGCCAGATTATCTGAGAGAGTGCTAAATAGAATGGTGTCAAGTTTACAGGTCTTTATCCCATTTTCTAGTCTTACCTTGCATCAGATTCACAGCTTCTGAATTTAATTTTATTTCAACTTAAATTTGAAAGCTCAGTAAGTGACCTTGTCCCGGAAATCAATGGCTTACATGCTCTTGTGAAATAGATTTTTTAACCTTCCTGTAGTTGAGCTCCAAATGTTTATTTTCTGCTTACCGAAAATGCTGCAATTCTTCATCTTCACATGGTCTGCTTTCATGCTGCTCTCCTATGCAGGCTTTCCCACCACCACGTGGGGAGGGGTTGTTGCAGGTTCTACTCCTTGATTTCCTTCCCCCTGAACAAGGACTCCAGGAAGACCAGCAGCTCCAGTGCCCATCAACAATACCTATGTAACATTTGGGAATATTTCACATTAAACCACTTTGCAGGTTGGTTGTTCTTTAAGAAAAACAAAGCATGTGCTGTCCAAACTGTGACCTTACAGAGAATTCCAGATTACAGTGATGTAATCATACCCAAACTCATCTTTTACATAAGTATAATTCCATGGAGTCTGTAAGTTAGATATTTTTATATTGTCTTAGACTTTGATATCAGCTATAAATAACTTAAAAATTAAAGAGCAAAACTTTTTAAAGTTATTGGTACTCATTCATTTAGTACAGATATTTATTTATAGGTTACATTTTGAGTGGTTAGTATTGTCCGCTGCCTTTAACAGTAATAATAAAAACAGTTCTTTGTTAAGTACCATTTGGACATGTTAAGCAAAGACTAGGCTCAGCATGACCCTCTCCATGCTGTATGTCCACAGCAATATCAGACCCAAGCAGCAACTGCACATCAGCCACCCATTCAGGTTGTACGGTGGGACACACAGACTCTGGAAGCAGGACAGCATAGTTGCTGCTTCTAAACTCTCACAAGTTAAAGAATGCTGACCTGGTTGATCTTGCACGAGAGTTCCCAGCTCACAAGCTGCTCCAAAGGTGTAAGGCTTGCAGTAACACACACACTGAGTTCCTTCCACAGCTGCCTCACCACCATTCTGGCAAGGCTGACATTTGCAGGGATCATTTTCAGCCATATATTCTTCAATGGCTTGTTTTAGGTAATGCTTTTTGACTGAAGAGCAGGGCACTTCCTTTACCAGCTCATATAATGGTGTTAGCTAGACAAAGTAGAGAAACACTTAAATAGTCATAGTTGGGATATAAGAGTTTATAAGCATATTTTGTCATGTAAAATAGTGATGTATGCTCCTGCATATGAGAGTTGAAAGATGCTCTAATTTGTTGGCTAACTAGCTAAAATCTTATGTTAGTATCTAATATCAGCCTTTTTCAGAAGTCAGCTTTGCTTAACAGCATCCCTTAAAGCCAGTGGTAGCTTAGTCATGTTTAAACATATTTGAGCCATGAGATTATGGTTGAGATAAAAAGTGTAACACAGACCACCAATGTACAATAACCTGAATTCTCACCCAGCTCTTCCCAGTCTAAAAAGCTGGACATTTAAACAACCCATTATGTCATTTCATTGACCAGTGATTGAAGATAGCTATAAGCAAAACCATTTTGCATTTCTATTGCCTATTTTATTATATTCTGTGCTTTTACACTTAATTGAAAAGCCCCTGACATAAATTTTTTGGGTTTATACCATTCTTCAGTATTTGGGCAGTTCCCAAAAGAGACTTCGACAAAGTAGCAGTGAATATGGTCATGCCCAACCTTGAAGTGTCTAGCTTTCAGCATCTCTGGTTATGCCAAACTTATGCAGTCAGAAAGAAAGGAGAGGGATAAAAGGGATACACATAAATTAGCAAGCTGACTGGAAGCCACACAGACCTGTCAATATGCATTTCAGGAAAGGAGCTATCTGAAATCCAGGCTTTCTTCACTGTTAGGGTGATCCTCTGTTCTTAAGCAGAACTCCACTAAAGTCACTGAAGGCTTGTAAGATTGTAGGTATTAACCTACCAAAGGACTTACAATTCGTGATGCAGCTGATCACATTAGCTTCATGGCATTTTCTTCCTGTGAATTTTTCTTGTATTTTTTATGAAGTGATCTGAAGACAAAATGATTGCAGACTACAGCTTGATTAATCACCAGCTATAGCTTAATAATTTCTTCCCTTGAGGTGATCCCATCTGCTCATCTCTGCTTTAGGAAAATAGCCTTACCTTTTGTTTGATTACTCTCGGATAGTCTGTCACTGATCTGGCCCAAAAGGAGTATCTCTGACTGTTCCCAGCAGGATTATTCAGCTCTAGATAGCTAAGGCCAGCAACAGCACCTGGGCTTCCTCCTTCTATGTAGGGGTCTCCTTTAATCTTATTACCACTGCTTCCTGTAGATTCAGGATGGAAAATAAAGAAAATATCAGCATTGCTATATTTACAAACGGAAATACAAACAATATTTGCAAAAGCTAGTGAGCAGTGAAAGAACTCATCAGTGCAGATCAACCACCTGTGTCTGGATCAAGAGTTCCTACATTGATAATATATAAGAAGTATCTGGCTTTGCAGGTGTCTTGGCAGCCCTGACTTAGGGTGTCCAGAAAAATACTAGCTACTGGGAAAGCATTACAACGATTGATGGGTTTTGGAGAGCCTTTTTAACCAGGCATTAATGTCAAGGTTAAACATGTTAAGATAGATTTCAACAAAGTTATCAATACCTGCTCCGCATTGTGACAGCTATTTAGGAGGAGATGAAAGATGGAGACACGACAACGGTATGAGTCACTGTTGAACATTTACCTGAAGAAGTCTGCAGCAATTCATCCAGTTTGGAGCACTTTACTTTCTTCTTCTTCACAATGAATGCATTCCAGCCTGATGTGGTGCACTCGTACATGTCTGTTATGCTCATACCTGCAGATAATTGATCCATTATCAATACTGTACACGGAAAGCACATTGGATTAATTTCCAAGTTTCCCATTGACTTGATATGTGCTTTAGAAAGAAAAGAACCATGATGTATTGTACCTAAACTACAAGGCAACTAACTAGCATGACCTGTGGGAAGGTTCATGCATTTCTAAAGCCTATGGATGGAGGCTGAGGGATGGGAGGTGTATCTGGAAAAACTTCATTGTTTCTTTTTTCTCTTTTGTCACCAATCCCTAATCCTACAGCACTTCTCCCTACTGAGTATGTCATACATGTTGCTCTGGTGTTTGCTCTGTTTGTAATTTATTCTGCTTTACATAACTTTACCCAGCCTTCATCTCCAAGTAGCTTTCAAGCTTTAACATTATTTGAGATCTAGATTTGCAGCAGTATTTAGGTTTAGCCTGAAGCAACTATCAAATCTTTGCTACCCAGAGCACTACAGGTCACAGGTGTGGATCTAGAACAAAATGACATGGTTTGAACACTTTTTCTAATCATCTTTATTTTGTCTGTGAAGAGAATGTGGCAAGTAGTAAAAGTTTCTTATTTGATTTTAGATACTAGCTGGAAGAACATGCGAAGAAATTCTTATTCTTGTTTATTCACTTTGTTTCTTGTAACAAATACTCTAGTAACCTACCTTCTGCTTTCATTTTGTCAGTATCCATAAAAAAAATAACTTTGTAAAGTCCTCCTAGAGATCCAGAGTGTAAGAAATGAGTCCCAAAATGTTCAATAAGTCTTCGGTAGATGTTGTACTCATAGACGACTGGAAGGCTGGCCAGCTCCTTCCAGAAGGGCTCCGCAAGAGTGAGAAAGTCTGGGTGGTTGTTAATAAACTGAGCAACTTCCACACTGTTCTCAACAACCATCAGCTGCTTACTCTGGGGGAAGGAAAATAAGTCAGTCATGCTCCTTGTCACTGTTGGGGTGGTTCCTACTAGCCAGAAGACACACACGTTATATTGTCTACTAACCAACAGAACGGTTAAGTACGTGTAAGCAACTCAGTGAATACAAAAAGAATATCCTGAAGTTAGGAAATATCTTTTGGACCTTCATTTATAATTGCTGTATCATCTTTCTTTTCCTCCTGTGTACCTGAAGGCTAGCATAAGAACAATTAAGAAAGGAAAATATCACACTTCAAAGCTAATAGTGGCTTCCAACACCAGCAGACTAGCATTAGGAGGTTAACAAGCCCTGCCTGAAAGCAAATCAGAGGCACTAGCAAGGTCTTATTTGCACCCTGTTTTGTCTAGAGGAGCTTTTCTTTGTAAAGGACTCTAGTCATTTTGAGGAAGCTGCTGAACTATAAAATCCTGTATGCCTATACGATATTGTTCAGCTCAGCTTCTCAAAGTTGGTTTTGAACTTTGTTATGCTAAGTCTCAAAATATGTCATTGTTAGTCTGGTAAAATTAGATTTAAAAAATCCCCCTCTGTCAGTTTGGAGACCACAAAATATATAATTTCATTACCTGATTTTATTTGACATATTTCATAATTGAGAGTAACTCTCAAACTAGTTATCTAACATTCCTTTTTTAAAGAAGTCAAATGCATAAGCACTGTGATGTCCTGGTTGTTTAAGACACCAGATCTCTCGCTCAAGAGAAATATGAGTGGAAAACATATTATAAAAGAAATAACCTTAATCACAGAATTATTTCAAATTT